ACTTTCACAAACCAATTAATTTACATGTATTGTGATTTTTTTGTTAGCAAAGACGTAGCAGAATACATTTCGGCGTTAATTTATGATGAAATTTGATTTTTAAAATTTTATTACTGGACATGTTTAATTGCAAAAAGTCAAAAATATTGTTTTTTTTCTCAAAATTGTCAGCCTTTTTTTTTATTTATAGCGCAAAAAATAAAAAAACAAATAACGCACAGGCAATCAAATACCACCAAAAGAAAGCTCAATTCGTGGGGAAACAAAAGACATACATTTCATTTGAATGTAGCGATGCATGACCGTGGTTAAAAAGCTTATCATTCAACATCGAGAGTATCCCGCAAAATTCAATAAAGTATGGGACAACTTGCTGGCCACACCAGACTTGTCCCCTTTTGACCTTGTAATGGAGAGACGCTTATAATGGTATTACTTTCCTGATGAAAATTAATAACATATTTGTTGGGTTCGAACTCATTGATGTGATATAATCCTGTATTGTTATGGTTGTGCCCAATTGGTTGTTTTCTGTACCCTGTCATCTTTGTACTGTTTATGATCCTATGCTGTTTTCAATAAACTTTTTCCTGGTTTAGGGTCCGTGCACACTACCTTGAAAAACACTGCTCCTAGAGCAGTTTAGTATTTTGCCTGTAGAAGCAACTAATGTTATCCTATGAATCCATGCATATTAAGGTCATTGAGAGGCCTTTTTTTAAGCTCAGCATTAGAGGCAGAAAAAAAAAGCCTTCTGTTTTGCGTTTAAGAGCTTTTTTTTTGGCAGACAAAAACTATAAATGCTCCTAAACACAAGTACAAAAATCACTGAAAATAAGCGTTCCAAGAGCACTGGCTTTTATTGGTTTTTTTTTTAAGCGTGGATGCATGGATCCTTAAAAAAAATATAAAGACAACCAGCAAAAATCAACTATTGCAAAAAAAAATCAAAAACCTGTCTTAACTAATATCATTTTTGAACCTACAACATGATCCTAAAATTAAAATGATGATTCTTGTGCAAGAACAAGCAACCCAAATCTGATACAACTAAATTCTAAATAGGAGCGTTTTCCTAAGTTAAAGGAGGGGTTCTCATCAGAATTTAATGTGATGTAACTTCTTAGGGAAGCACCACCACAAACATGCACATTCTAAATCTTTTGGAATTAAATTTAAATCTACAAAAACGCCATTTTTTACTTCATAAATAGGTCCTAGATTAAGATTCTTTACTAGCAAGACATTCTGGTAGTGTCTTAAAAGAAATCATTTCATTTTATGAAAAAAAAGAATGTATCACTAGGACAGAAGCCCTCAAAATGTGGTATAAGTGTCTCTTCAATTATTGTCGTTATAACAGTGCATCCTCGAATTGAACTATGTGATAAGACAATTACTGCCTTCTTTTCTTACTTTTTTTTTTTTTTTTTTTTTTAAAAAGGTTTGTCCATTTGCCGTTACCTGTTCTAAAGATTTCATCTTACAAAATAATTAAAAATGTGCATGTTTACAAGGGCTGAAAATTATTCCTTTACCCTATTCTCCTTAATAGTTCCCATGCTTTAATAAAGATGGAATAAATAATTTTACCCTGCTTAGGGATTACTCTAGAAATTGTTTCCTTTCCAGTGTTACTTCTGCTACAGCTGTGTTTGGTCTCTATTCATTTTTGTGGGGTTTAACTGGGGAGGAAAAAAAATTAAAATTGCTCAAAAAACATTCACATTCAAGCTGCATTCTGCCAGCATCTGCTATTGAAGTCTAGTTCCAATTTACAATAAACAGCTTTTCCAGACCAGAACGCTTGAAATTCAGTCCCTCTTGACTGCTTTTCCTATTCACTCTCTCTGCACAGTATTTCAAGGAGAAAAAATGTTCTGCCAATTATTACACATCTGGAAAAAATGCATGTATAAGCTAAAATATACTCTGCAGAATGTGTCTGCTTTCGGCACATGGCACAGCAGGATTTTATGGGCCACTGACAAGGTCAGAGTATGCAAGCTATTCAGATTTTTGTTCACTTCTCTCCCTAAATGTTGTACCTCAAATCTGAAATGAGTAACAGGAGTACTTACTTAATCTCATTAGTCTGCCAAAATGATTATAATGCAATCTATTACTACATTTTTAGTCAACTCCTGCCTGCTAAGTTTTCCAAGACACTTATTTACCAGTCCACACAACATGCGGATAAAATAAAAGTACAAATCAAACACAACTTGAAAGACCAGTATGATGCACTTACCACTGAGGTCTGTCTGTTTGGTACAAGTCCAGCTGTTCCATAGTTAGATGTCAGGCTTACAATGGGTCCATTGTGTGCTGCGCCCAGTAAGCTGTGGATATCAGCGGGCATGCTTGTGGAAGGTCCTACTGCATGGTTCCGCAGTACATGTATAGCATCATCAAGCCTATCCAAACGATCTTCCATTCGAGACTGCTGTAACGAAATTAAATCAGTTATTTTATTGTCTAAAGTCCAATATCTTTATCAAGGTTTTAATTGTAGGTTGTGCACCAGCTCGAGCCTTCAAATAATGATTTAATTCAGCGACATATGGAATGTTAAGGTTCCAGTAATTACAGTATAGTGTAAGACCTTTACACTTTTATACTCTAACAAATAGGAACATGTGAAAATGTATGTACAAAATTAAAGTTTCCATTGGAAAAAAAAAAAAAAAAGCAGCCTAATGCAAGTCATATTCTTGTGTAAAGGTTTTATCAATATTGTTGTTTTAATAATACATGGGAGCACATTCATATCCGTTCATTACATATGTAGAGAAAGGCCCTGTTGCCTATTGACACCTGTACATTTTAGGTGTGGTGCATTAAACAAAATCCTGCTTGCTGCACCTTTGATACTCTCTCTCATAAAACGCACATTAGCGTTCAGTGAAAACACATGTAAAAAGCACCACACAGGTGTGAAGTGGACCCAAGCTTCTTGCATTGAACTACTGTACAATGGTTGGGCTTTACTGTTCATTCTCTTAATGTAGGTTTATTAATCAGGCAACTCACTGAAAACCATGCACATGCCAGATATATTGTCTAAAAGGCTGCTCATCGAGAGAGAGGGTAAATACAGTGAGCAACTGGGAGCTCCCCTATTGGCTAATTTAAAAACTAAATTAAATTTAAAGAGTGAGTAAAAAGATAAACACTGCAATAACAACCCAAAATATTTGTTTGTTTCTCTCGAGTGAAGGCAACAAGAACAGAAAATGAACCACTTCCACTGTGTGCAGGCAACAGGAGATCCGTTTCTATATTTAAAAACAATAGGAAAAAGATTTTTCTTTTTAAGAGCTCTAACTGCTCGTTAGACAAGTGGGGGTTGACATTTTAAATGTTAGTAAAGACTGATGTTTGCGTGGCTAAACAGCAATTTAGTGATATATGACAACTAGGGAAACGTAGAGGAATGATAATCTAATTAGCGTTTCCCTATATTAACTTTACGTGTTTATTTACAGGATTAAACATTTTCTAAACCTCTGAAGCTTCCTATAAATGAACAATACTTTAGCTGCATGTGAACTGATGTTCAGCAGATTTGGCTATCGAAAATACCTAAATCAAAGCGATAGGGGTGAATGCACAGACCAAGCCAGAGGCAATAGATGAAGTCATATAAGAGTTGCATTAATTCACCAATGTGACAACTAGACAATTGAAAATATGGCGGTGGCCCATTATGTGCAAACTTCAGAAATGAAGTCTCTTTAATTTTATCTGCATATTGGCTATAAAGTAATAAGATCACATTTATCAGCCAGACACATCTATAAGTATCTCAAAACAGATCAATTCATCTTGTATTTTCATTCTTTTTCGTTTCAAAGTGTAAAATAGATTACTTGTGCTATTTTATTAAATCTTAAAAGCTGAGCTCAATAGCTCTCTAAAACCTGCTTATTTATGAACAGGTAAAAACATACAGTGGTATTTGTATCATACAAAGCAAGGTTTAGGGAAGGAAAATAAGGACAAGCTGCATAAACAAACACACAAAACAAATTGCACCAGCTAAAGAGAAATACTACTACCTCACAGACATCCTTTAAGAATGACATAGCATCTTGCAAATGCTCGTGGAGTTGCTGCTCAACCCGATTTTTCTGGCAAAGTCAAGACAGAACAAGAAGCACAGCAAAGGTTAAGATTAATTAAAGGGAAGAAGAGGAAAGGCTGATGCGCGTGTCTGCTTGAAATGTTAGTCACGTTAATGCAGGGGTCCAATTGTAAAGAAATACATGAGCCTACAGACAGTCAGTACAAAACAGGAAGTGAAAAGAAATCATTTTATCATTGACTATATACCCTACTTGTCTTTTATAACCTACCAAATGGTAATAATGAATGCTTTTGAGGTTTTTTTTTACAGCCAGATTTAGTCATTTTGATGGTAAAGCTTAAATTCATATAATTACAAAAAAATAAACCTGTACAAGAAAAATCATGCATATTCAGTCTGGCTAACTAAATAAATTAATACCAACATTTTAATTATACTACATGGGATTCTTAGTGGAATTCTAAAGTGGAAGTAATAAAGTGAAATGGGATGAGAGAACATACTTTTGAAAACAAAGCTAAATGTGTGAAAGCAAACACAGGTAAGGGGAGAAGTGAATGCCTTTATGGCTGAGATTAGTGGCAATAACTACCCTTCATTCAACCCCCCCCGTAAATTTCTTGTATGTGGCAAGTCAGATGAAAAACAGTTTGACGCTTTGGTTTTAGGTTCATCAAAACAACTTGCATGGATTCATGAACTATACCCTTTTCACTCCACATTAGTACTGAAAACGAGCTTTGGGTTTATAGAATACTAGCCTCCCATAACAGTAATTTAGCAGCAGCTGTCTCTTAAACAGAGGCTTGACGACTAGGGAACAGATGGCGAAAGACACACCCTATACGTTTTATATTGTGCATTCAAACCAGACCACTTGCTAGCAAAGAATTTAACTGTAACATCATACGGCTGACTTCCTAAAGAAACGGACAGCTATGAAAAATGTAAGAACTTTAAGAGCACACTTTCCATAAAACAACAATACAAACCCACTTACCAGGGAGTGGAGAGAATTTTCATAGCTTGGAGATGACGGTGTTTGCCCCCCTTGTCTAGACCACTGGTTGGCACCTATCGAGAATATACAATTATAACAAACGGTTTAAGTACTAAAAGCAATGCAAATAAACAATGAATTGGCAAATAGAAGTTCATTGCATATTTTATAAAACAAAAACACATTTTAAAATGGTCTTGTTAGTTATATACGTTATTATTGGTGATTTATAAAGTCTTAAAAGTGACGGAATATCCTGACCAGCACCAGTTTGAGTGTTGCTTTCAATATTCAAGGAAAGTGCAGGTTAACAGGGGAAAAAAAAAAGCATACCTAAGAATTCAAAGTACTTGTCTCTATACACAAAAATGTTAGAAAATCTCTACAATTAATGAGTGACCACTGCCTTCATTGTATAGTCTGCAGAAAATTAGGACATGGCAAAATTCCTCAAGGTTCATATGAAAAGATCTATTCTACATGGGCAGCCTACGTTTCACAGCAATGACTAAATGATTATTTATTAGGTTTGTGATTATCTCTAGGAAAGATTACCCCATTCAGAAAAAAAGTTCACCTAAATTTACAGTGCTGTATATCCCCATTAAGACTAATCCCTCTAATTTGTACAACATAGTCAAGTTTTCTTAAAGCGCAACTCTACTTTTGTTGAGGAAAAAAAAAAAAAAAAAAAAACGTCCTCTCTGCGTCATCTATGTACATTACAGGGTTTTTAAACTTTGTTGTAGATTTCTACCTTTGGGTATTCTGAAGAAATGGCTGTTTGTTTGTGTTGTGTCCATGTGCAGAGTGAATCAATATTGGAATGGTTTTATAATTAACAATCAGCTGCTGCACCTGCAGGGCTCTAATGAGGAAAGTGGCAGGGTCTGCATCCTTTTAGACGTGATTTCCCTTCGGGAGTATTTCACCAAAAATTACAATTGTGTCACAGGGGATACCAAAAATTTGACTTGTATGCTAGTGCAGACATATGGGAAAATCAGTGAGCCAATCATACAAGCAGGGAATGACATTTTCAGGGGGCATTCTGTACACCATCTGTGTACAGAATGCCTCCTGGTAGCCAAAATTGCAACCCTGCAAATTGAAAAGGAAAGGTAGTTCTTAACATTCAATATATGACTTGTATCACTCACAATTGTATACTAAAAAAATATATATATATATATATTTTTTTTTTTTTTTTTTTCCCTGATGATTTTCTTACTCACAAAAGTGGAGTTACCCTTTAAATACATTGCAATATAACTTTTTACAGGTCCAATGACAAACACGTATGAATATCAAATGGTCTACAACCGGACAGCACAACCTCCCCCCCCCCAAAAAAAAAAATTAAAATAAAATGTGACGCCCGTTTATCAGTTCAATGTGGTCTCCTCCCCATGATGAACAAGACATAAATGATTTATTTGCTCATGCGTCACTTTCCATATAACCTCACCCACTGAATAATGCAGCAACAACATTAATAAATTATGAATATGCCACTGAACACCAAAAAAAGCACATCAAAGAAAAGGCCTATGGGTATGTTTCTTCAATCACAACTGTGTCTGGGAAAGCAGGGATAAGTTTATTACAAATTCGTTGTCGTGTATTTCACAAATGAGTATCGTTTCAAATGAAAGCAATGCACAAAGACAAAACAGCAGTGAGAAGTATTTAGAGAAAATGCAACATGTCAAATTCCACAAATGCTGGGTGGTTAGTGTTTGTTAAGAATGAAATATCTACGCTGGAAAGACAGTTACAAATTTCTACAGATTTATTCTGTGCTTCTCTCTCTAGATACTAGAAAGAGAATCCATTCTTTCATGTAACTGTATGAAGGGCAGACATTCTCTTCCTCATTAGATGTGTTGATTCAAAAGCTCAGTTTGGCAGGGCTTGTTTTAGCAGCTGCTGCTACTCATCACTCACAACAACCTACGCTGTACAAGTTTTCATTTACTGCATAAGGTGAATATTCCTAATCAATCAATAAATCACTCAGGAGGGACTAAAACAAATGTCCATTATTGAAGATTTACCCCCAAAGTTACAAAGGGTCGAATATTTTTTTTTTTTTTTTATAGAAAGTCATTGAACTTTATCTTAATACCAAGTGATCCTTCGAACTGAGATTTCTTACCATTTTAAACAGAATACCAATGTATGAATTTTCTTTTACTATGTTGCCAAATCGATGCTATTTACATGAAATCTAAGCAGTTGTATACAGAATAATTTTCACAGAAACTACACATTGCCTAATTTTGTTTTCAATGAATGCAGCAAAAAAACAAAAACAGTTTTGATAGTTTTCTGCACTTAGGGCTGGTTCACACCAGATCGCACAGAACGCGTACCGCATTCCCGTGTAATTTCCACATGGTGCAATTTTGACAGCCTGGTTTTTTGAATGGGCTAAAACTGTACCAAATGCAGAAAAATAACGCAAGCGCTGTAAGAAGAAGAAAAAAAAAAGTGTCGCAACAAAACCGCAGGAACCGTGGTACCATGTGATTTAGTGCCTGCAAAGACACTGCTTTTGCAATCTTTATTTGGGATGTCGTTAACATTACACTGGAATCTGCATGCAGATTGCAAGGGCAGTGTGTTTGAATGGGGTGTGGGAAACCCGAATGAAACGCACCTTTCCTGAATCTTGTTACGGTGTGAGTCAGTCCCTAAACAGTTTTATAAAATACCCACCAGAGTAGAACAGAGCACATTATATATTAACTCTAATGGAAACAGGCAGGATGACTCAAGCATTGGTGGAATAAAACGGTATTTCAATAAAAATGCTGGGGAAAGCAATAGAAAAGCACAGGAAATTCTGTAAAACAGCTAAGCTGTATCTTTCAAGCGCTATGTGCATAATGTTAAAAAAAAAAAAAAAAGACAAAAAAAAAAAAAAACATATACAACACAAAGTGTTTGAAAATGTGAACTGAAAGACTGCCAAATATGTACTGGTGTATTTACAGTAAATTAATCCACTTAGGCCGAAAAAAAATCCTATTTACTTTAAGGCTGACCATGCAATTAACAAAAAGCAGGATGTTTATCATTTCAGACCACACTATCTATGATGCATCACATTTAACAAAAAAAAAAAAAAAAAATTATTCATATGGATGTACGTTATCTTTGGTATGCTAAAATAGGTAGCTGTAGAAGTTCTCATAAAATCCAGACAGTGCTCTTTTCTATATTAACGTTATGCTGGTAAAATAAAAATGTACCACTACTGTATCACTGTATTAAAAAAAAAAAAAATATCACAGGACTTTCATTTTGGTCTGAGCAGAACAGCTGTTCGCATTTTACTAGACAGCTGAAGTGGGAGTGAGGGAGTAGACGGTCACCTACAGTTCATTCTTCATACATCAGATAGCTATCATTCTTACAACTATTTAGCTCAGCTTCTAAAGTTATTAATAAATAAGGAAACACGGATTTAACCAGTCTATAAAAACATTCCCGAAAAGGAACGGGCTAAAGTTAAAATAAGTAAATAAAAGGCTAAATAAAATGAAAACAGACAAAAATGTCAGGCTTCCAAAAACACTATGTACAACCCTCACTCACTTTTAAGTAGCCTGCAGATACAGAGATTAGGATTAGGATACCATTAATCCCATTAACAAGGTAACATTATAAAATAACAATACAAAAAAACACTGTTTGATGATTTCATGAAAATTAACTGAGACAGGAAATAGTTTAATATTTTGTCTCACCTGACCTTGTCATCTAAAAGAGCCAAATTTGAAATCATCTATACTACAAAGGGTACTTCAATTAACCTATTCAGCTCCTGTATCCCTTTAACTGGGCTATTTATACTCCGGGAGGTTGGGAAGGTCTGCTCGATCACATGACCACTGCTGATTGGATGTCTCAGTGATCACATGATCGGAAGCCAGTCTTGCTAACTCCCAAACATTACTAGAGATTGGGACCCGTCTTGACAGCTTGGTCACCGTGCTGGGAGTGTGCTCATAGCACAAAAACCTCTGCTGCCCATGCATGCACATGTGCGGTGTGTGGGGGTTAAAGCCCACCCTCTTTGCATTATGTGACCAACAGGTTAAGAGAGTGGTTTTTTACACTAAATGGAATTGCATACATTCTCTACCTTTATCAAATTTCAAACTTAATGATTTTGATGGCTTTAGATATACTGTTATGAAAATGTTGTTGGCCTTTTTACGCAAATTAAAGTTACTAAAGTTTTGCTGCAACCATGATGAAAATAAACATCAATGGAGAGCATCTCATCTATGCTGGACTCCAAAAGAAAGGACCTCTTTTGAACGTCATATGATATAATAAGCTAGGTAGTAGCTCTAGAACTAATAGTATTATTGCTTTTGTACCTCTACTGATTCGTACAAAAACATTATTCAATTGTTCAAAAGCAAAAAAAAAAAAAAGAAAAAAAAAAAAAACCTTTTGGGGCACTCTGTGGTTTTGTGAGGATACCTTATATGGTGTTGCAGATTCTGGGTAATGCATAGAATTAATTCTGATTTTAAAGTATATTTTTTTAAATTTTATTTTTTCAATGTAATTATATTAAAGGAGGATAAAATGCCCCTATGAAACAATCAGCTGGGGTAGTGACAAGTGCTCTTTATTGGAGGAAGCACAGATCCAAATAGACCCCTGAGGTTTCCTCAAATAATGCAGACCAGACATAGAAAGCCTGATCCACAATGCAGGTTCTTTAAAGCGCTTAACCAGGATGTTCTCAGCCCTGAGCATTTCTAGGTTCACTGAACACAAAAAGAGATTGGTAAACGTGAGTTCAGCTGTTCAGGAAATTGTCAAAGTGATCAGATGATTTTTCTATCTGCCTGCATCATTCTACATTAGTGACTGCAGCTGGGTAAAAAAAACTCGATCAAAATCATGGTTACATGTTATTTTTAGCCTTGACTGCTCTGCAAACAGTTACAGTGGTGGCAGAAAAATGATAAAACTTTTCTGCCAACTGTCTGCGGCAGGGAACTGCTTTCTTCTTTAGTTTGTGACTTAACTGTTGTCCTTTACTGTCAGAAGAAAAAGACCTCCTCTAGCCCACCCCATCTATTTATTGTTCACGTTTGTGCATGCATGGACATATGAATGCAAGATACATAAATCAGTTAGATCTTTAAGGTTCCATCACTGTTGCTATTAGGCCTAGATTACACTTGCAGTTGGTGGGGGGTGTAAAAATAGATAGTTGAGGCACGACTTTTACAGTCCCTCAACTGCCACCCCCATAAACTGCAAAGGATTAGAGCACCCCTGTCTAGTTTTATTATCCTGGAAACTGTTAGATATAATCCCTCTCATTTCCTGTTCTGGTGACACCATTTTCGCCAGACAGGAAAGACAGAAGTTCCTTTTTAATTTACGTTGAAGACATTCCCTCACTTCCTGTTTAGTAAAAAAAAAGGATCCTTAGAACAGGAAGTAGGAGGAGCCCCAGATTGCAGGAAGACCTGAAAGGGATTCTTACCCTTCCCCAGGCCATCACAATCTAGAAAACAAAGTTCTGGCTACAGATACACCTTAGCTCAAAAAAGAAAAAGGGATTAAAGGATTAAAGTTTAAAAGATAAGTATGGGTTTATTATACTCAACTTGGCAGATGCTGTATCTGTTCCATGCCACTTCTAAGACTGATAGCTCAGTGAGCAGAAGCCCGGGACAGTCAATCACAGTCACCTGAGCACTAGCGGCTGGGCTCAGGCTCTTAGCAACTCAATGAGAGCCTGAGCCAGCTGTTGATCTAGGCATCTGGGTATATCCCAACCATATGGTTGGGATCTTTTCAGAACCTGGACCGGGCTCTGTGACTTCAGCCAACAGCAGGCTTTAGAGCGCTGACGCTGAAAATGGGTCATGGGAATGCCAAATGAACAGTACACTCCTATGATCCACAGGAGAAGGATAGCCAAGATGATCTGGCTATACTTCTCTGTGCGCATATATGTGGTCACTCGGTGGGGGGACTTTAACGCTGAGAAGCCCCATATATATGTGTCCTAAATGTAAACATTTCTGTCCAGCACAATTACCGGCTGTCACCAGAAAAGCTCCCAATGCCTACTTGCGTTTGACTGCCAATCACAGTGGTCACTATTGGAACGCCTATGCCTCAGCACTTAGAACCCCTTAAAGGGCCGGAGGGCAGCAGCTGGAAGGGGCTAAAGTCCTTGTGTACATTCAAAAGTGTGCATAGGGAGAGCATGCATACACACATGTATTAGATAGGTTCACACACATACCCCCGAGTCAGAGCAATACTTCTAGGGATATAATTTACTATTAGACCTGGTTCACACTAATGCAGTGCAGGAAATGCAGTAAATCCTGTGAGTTTCCTACACCACATTGTAATCGTACAGCGCCCATGAGATCTGGTGTGATTGTCAATGTTAAATTAACAACACTCTCAAAAAAGATCACAAAATGCAGCATGGGTTGCCAGAATTCGCACCGCATGGGTGTGAACAGGTGTAGGGAAAAAAAAGGGTCCTGTGCCTTTTTTTTGGTGTAGATGCAATGCGGTTTGAACCATCAAAATGTATGGCTCAAATTGCACTGCACAGTCATTGCATGTGATTTTCACAGGAATGCAGTGCGATTCTTGTGCGAATTACATGCAGTGTCCTGCAACGCACACGTGTGAACCTAACCTTAAAGCAGCACAAAAGAAAACAATATATTTCAGCTTACCAATTCTTAGCTGTGATGGCTGCATTTTTTCTTTACGCTATCCTTTTCACATGGTGATCTGGCCTGTAAATCTGTTGCTTTTCGACAAAACAAGCTGTTCTGCAGAAGTAGCATTTACAGGATTGAGACAAACCATTTACTAATGTTGGGAATGCTTCCAATGATCAGCTTTTCTTTACGTAAAACCTTTCTCCCAAAAGGAAAAAACTGTTTGCTGTAATTGCCTATAAAGTTTTAGCTGGAGTTCACTTCAATTTGTTAGAGTATCTAAATCTGCTAGTATTTGTTACACTCCCCTCCTCCAAGATTAAGAATGCTGTTGTCCAAATGTGCCATCATGCTCCTTCATCCAGAGTGGGGGCACTCTAATACAGGAGGTGGGTTACTGGTCAGATCACCAGGTGAAAACAGAGGGAAAAGGGACAAAAGAAAACTAATGCAGCCACCACATCTGATTGGTAAGCTGCATTATATTTTTGGTTTTGGGTTTAATACCGCTTTAACTCTAAACTAATGAGCTATAAAGGCTTTTAACCCTTATGCTGTTATTTATGTACAAGCTAAAGCGATATTAAACCCAAAACCAAAAATGTAACATATTGCAGCTTACTAATCATAAGCATTAGCAGTGTTGACAATCTGAGGGGAGGGGAGTGACAAACTAGCAGATTTAGATGGACTTGACTAACATATTTAAGTAGAATTCCAGCTAACCCTTTTTCCTTTTGGGAGAAAATGGTTTACATATAAGAATAAAAGCTGACCATTGTAAGCACCCCTGTCAGTATTGTATGGCTTGTCTCAACCCCTAATACATTGTCAGGACAGCTTGATCTGTTAAAAAAAAAAAAAGTAGAAAAAAAACCCCCCAGACTTACTGGCTGCATCACCAGAGGAAAACAAAGGAAAAAAAAAAAAAGAAAGAAAACCGATGCACCCATCACATAAGTGGTAAATTGCAATTTAATACATTTTGTTTTTAGGTTTAATACTGCTTAAATGCACATTTTAAACCTGATTAATTAAAATCCAAAAACAATACATGTTTTCTGAGAGATCCTGGAGAATGAAATGATTGAAGTTCTACTTTATGTCAGATGTTATTAGCACAGTGGTTTACCAACCACATTTTCAGTAAAAAATGTAAACCAAACTTAATTTTAGTGAATGCAAATGCAATATACTACTCAATTTCTGGTAAATATAACAGATGAGATCATGCCGAGTAATTACATACCCAACACTAAAGAGTTATAAGTGTGCACTCCCGTGAAACGACAACAAACTTCAGTACACACTGTTCATAAGCGACACTTTAAAAGCCATTAAAAGGTCATTAGCTTAGAGTTCACCAAAAATGATGGGCCACAAATTATTTCTCTCACTTTCATATCCGACAAGAGACAACCTGTAACACAACTGCCCTCCTCTTCCTGCACGGATATGTTTACGTTTGTGCATCTGCGTGTAAGTAGGGGAGTGGGCTTAAAATGCTTTGATGTCATTAACTTTTTACAGATATGCCCTGGTCCCTCTCCCGAATACCTGATGACACCCGCTATTTAGTTCACAGGTCCACAGGTGGGATAGCGGAGCCTGTAGAACATGGTGGAGAGAAGGGGCGCTGTGCATTCTGGGGGCCTGAGGAGACAATCCAATGGATTGCTCTGATCTGAAAGCCGACAGTGTCTAAAACCTAGGGACAATTTTGGAAACCACAGTGTTTCATTGGCACTCCCTGTTCTAAGACTTTTTTGCTGTTTGATGCAATATCATATTTTAACAAACGCATGGGTATTATAAGTGTTTGTGTGCAATAAAATTAATTTTTTTTACTGAAAATATCGTTTTTAAGAACAGTGTCAGAAATATTGTGTGAAATAAATTGCAACAACCACCATTTCATTCTCTCATTTAAACATGTGCGCATGTTTAAATTTAAATGTCTTCTTAACTCTTTGACCAGTTTCACACTTTTATGGAAGATTAGTGCATTTCTGCAAAGATGCTTGTTCATTTTTAAAAGGCGGTCGATGCATTTTTTTCCTTCCAATGCAGCCCAACAAAATGCACAGATGTTTCACTTCTATGCATTGTGGTGTGCTAAAATGCAAGTCTGTTGTGCAGTGGAGATGTGAATTGGGGTGCATATGGAAATAGTTGGAGTCTCAATGCAAGGATGCTCAGCTGAATGCACATTTGTCCATGTGTTATGCAATACTAAAATGCAAATGCAGTGAAAAGAGCAACTGCAACCAATATAAGAGAGAAACATATTTTACATTATTTCATCTAACATAGTGTGTGAACAGTTTTTGTACATTAAAGTCAAACATATTCAAACTCAAAATTACCCGGCAAAGGAGATGGTGACCCAACTGGTGTTGAAGGATTTGATGGGAAACTACTGCTGGTGTGTTCTGGAGAATAAATCTAAAAGAGACAAAAGAAAAACACCAGGTAAAGGTTTACACTATTCCAAGGATTTAAAATAAAACAGTGTGATACAGAAGTAGACAACTTATTGTTTCAAAGAGTCAGTATTTAAGGATCTTGCTGGCTGATTATTTTTTCCAGGCCATGAAAATCTTGATGCATTGGGAAAAGAAGAGGTAGTCTTGAGACATAGCAATAAAGCACCTTTAATGCACAGAATAGTGGAAACTCGGTCTTTGAAATATTTTGAAATGATAGCTCACGCAATGCTAGTACTGTCGTCATACAGCAGTGCTTACCTTGCCTGAGGTCAGCCAATTCCCATTGTGTCAATGAAACAAAAGCTCAGCTAAGCTTCCTGCATTTGTAATACAAGGCAATATTTTCACCTCCCAAGAGACAAAATGCTGGCAGCAGGCCAAATGCACTTGAATAGAAGAGTTCATTATCCTTAAAGTTACCAGCACAGTGCACAAATTGCTTATGAGATCTATGAGAAATAGAGACCCTGCTTGCAAAAATACATACACACTCTCAGAAGATAATGTGGTACAGTTACTACTACCAAGAATGGCTCTTAGAATTGTGTGTATGTCATAAATAGCACACCAACTAGAGGCCTGCAATTTCTGTCCTGTGAAAGTCTACAGTGCCGTTTCACCATTTTTTTTTTTAAATCAAATATGAATTCAATATTCAGCTCTGACCTGCTTAGCTAATATTACCAATATGAATAATTCTTACACCTTCTTCAAGGTCTAAAATGGTAACATGACTTATTCTTTATCAACAAATAAGACTCCACCTCCCATCAGTCATGGTCCATTCCTGTCAGCAGGGTGCCAATATGCCCACATCTAATGAAAAGGGATGGAGACAAAAGCTACACAATGGGAAGCCCACAGAGCCAGACCATGGAGCTGTTAGTCCGATTTTTTTAAACACTGCAGTGTACATTTCAGTTGCCCCTTGTTATGTTAATGTTATAGAGTCTCAAAGCTACAAAGAAACTTAATTCATGAATTGAATTTTAAAGTCAACTTCCCTGAATTCTTATTTCCTTTGTGCTGAAAACCGCTGGCCACTTAACAAGACAGACTGCACAGTGTTTCATCATGCTCTGAATATAAGTTACTGCAAAGATGTTTGCTATGATCAACAAAGTTAAATAGCATGCCTATTTGATCTCCTCGGAATTAAAGCCTGGATGTTTTGATTTGGCATTAGATAATAAAATAAAGCAGATGTTCCTTGCCTTCACATAACCCTCAGCGGGCACAATCTTAAAGGGTTATTATTTGGCAAACGTTCAGGGAAACACATTAGAAATGGCACAAATACCAAGATTTTCTTTCCTTTCTATCTACACTAGTTCATTATCCAAACTAATGCATAATCCACAGGGCTTTGGGAACTTTGTGTAAATACTTTCATGTACAATTTTCTTTCTTGGCTACCCTGAGATTAAGACCACAATTATCCAGGCTTAAACCTAAAATAAAAGAACCTTTGCAAATGTATTATCTGGCCCTACATGTTTAATCACATAGTATTCTGTATGCTCTTTAATACCTAAACTGAAGAACAAATGCTTCATCTTCTGATCTTTTACACATGAAAGGCCTTCAGCAAATTTGTGATCAGCACAGCAAAACAAGCATCACACGTACAATGTGCCTTGGGATCATAAAGATTCAATTTATAGTTTTATTCATTTTAAGAGCATTTTGACAAAGGAACTAATATTAATGGTAAAAGATCTTAATTTGTTATTATACAATTAAAAAAAAGTAAAGGCAGTGGGCATTAAAATAAAAAAAAAAAAAGTTCAAAAATCCTAAAGTGAAATCTTAAAACGTAATGGAGGATTTGAAGTGTGCAGACTATGGCATACATTCATAGAGCAGATGGAATGCATCTCCTTTGGAAATGACAGCGGTGATTTATGGAATGACCTGGCTGCTCCCTGCCAAGCAGCAACACAGGATGACAAAATCAAGTCGCCATGACAACCATAGCCCACCCAGCACAAAGATTAAACATCTATGCCTTGGCTTTATTACCCTGATTTTGGGAGTGCTTCTAGAACAGCAACTGAGATGGGAAGAAAAACCTAATTTTTATCTCAAATTTGATAAAACCAGGATATAAGGGGCAACTATAATGAATACAAATTCTAAAAAGAAACAGCAGCAGGATATTTAATCTATAACAAACATCAAACAACTGAGTACTGGTATATAACCCAATTTCTTTTTAATGTAACTGTAGTACATGATTATGTAAAGGGCTGAAAATATGTTTTTATTTTCAGACTTGTAAATGACATGCTTAATCCCATGAAACTTTAAAAAGTACTTTACAAAATCCTTAACAAAGCTTTTATAAAAATGGGTATCAATACATCCTGGTATTAGTGTGCGCTGGAAACATTGAGTGCGCATTATGTTTAACAACTCCCAGCTTGCATTCCAAGCGAAAAGTGATACTCTCAGGACAGGCAGCTGTTTCCTTTAGAAGGTCATGTATCATTTAATCAACTGAGAAAACACACCAGTGTTGCACAGAAACTTCTAGATTGTGGTGAAAAAATGTCATCACTAAATGGCTCAAGCGATCAGTAACTAAGCATACAAATACCCCACACCGTTTATTAAGATTTGCTGTAACACCAACATTGAAGTAAACACTATCCAATTTCCATTTGTGACCGCACTTAAGATACAAATACTTACAGATGCCAGAGCTTTTCCAAGTGCATCTCCAGTCTGTGAGCTACCAGCTGCATTGCCTCTGCTTCCTGTACCTAACAGAAACAAGAAAGAAAATACATGCTATTTCTAATGTATACAAATGCTGGTTTATATAAACTAGATATTGTAAATATATACACCAAAATATTTTTCTTAAAAAGTGCTTACAGACTTATAATCAAACCAAATGTTGGAGCTGCAGAAATCCTGTAGATTAAGGCTTACCCATGAGATTGTCTGTTCCATTGATAGGAGGTGTGTGAGAAGATGCCACATAAGAGGAGCTTGTGGTGCCACCCCGATGGAAGCTGGACATTGGAGGAAGACTGGCATTTATATCTGTTGGTGAAACCGGATGTGGTGGATAGTTCTGGAAAAAAGACAATTAGCATTATTGCTGCAGATTACTTCACACTACAATGGCCATGCTAAGGTGTGGCAATGACACTTTCCAATCATTAGAAACCAACAAAACTGACAAATAATTGTTTCAAAACGTAATGAAATGCAGCCTGTTGAAATCTTTTTACAAAATATACCTAATGGCAACATTTTTTTTTTTTTAAGTTTTGGACAGAGTGGAGAGGGGTTAGAACCCCCGTCAGGTTGTTATTGCTATCTGTGCTCCCATCAAGAAGATTCAGCCTCTTTATTTGTCCTGTTTACTATTATCATTGAAAGTAAGAGACAATCCCAAATTTGGGTTGACCCCAGAAAAGTAATAGAGGATCTTGCTATGGGGACGAGCTTCTGGTGATCTGGGAGGAAGGGGGTGGACAAGGGATTCCCTTAAATTGCAGGGATTTCCTCTCACTTCCTGTAAAGGTAATTCTCCCCAGTGGGACAGAGAAAGCAAAAAAAACCTAACAAGGGTTATAACCCTCCCTTACTCGTTCCAAAATGAAAAAAAATAATTACCTATAGTTCTACTTTCATGCAACACTAAATTAATTTTTTTTTTAATCAAGGGAAATCAATTATTATTATTATAATACAGATTTTATATAGCGCCACCAGTTTGCTCAGCGCTTTACAAACTAAAGAGAGACAATACAGCAACAATACAGTTCAATACAAGAGGAATAGGAGGGCCTGATCCTGGGAGCTTACAATCTAAGAATCAATATGTGTAACTATAACTAGAATATACCTCCTAGCTGTATCTTCCTTTCTTTCATCTTTTTCTTTCAAATGCAAGCTTTTTTTCTGCTGTTCTCAGACTTCCTGATCGGAGTTGGCTACAATCGTTCTCCATAACTACCCTTTCCTGCTCACCTCTGAGATGGACTACACATCTACCTGCAAACATATTCCGCTCTTTGGCAATAGTAATACACAGAGCAGAGCATGGGACCAAAAATAATAGTACTTCTTTTTCTACATTAGCAGCAGTGAGGTGCATCAGTGGAGGATAGGGAGGGAGCAGAACACAGGACAAAATGGAAGCCTGAAAACAGACTTTTTAACCAAAAATAGAAAAAAAAACAGAGCCATGGTATACTTGATATTTTGGAACGATTGATGTTAACCACTTGCCCTCCAGAGGATTTACCCCTCTTCCTGACCAGACCATTTTTTGTCATACGGCGCTGCACTAATTTAACTGCCAATTGCACGGTCATGCAATGCTGCACCCAAATTAAATTTATGTCTTTTTTCCTATAAATAGAGCTTTCTTTTGGTGGTATTTGATTGCCTCTGCAGTTTTTAATTTTTTGCGCTATAAACAAAAAAAGACCGACAATTGAGAAAAAAAAAAACAACAGTTTTGATTTTTTGTGATTAAACATGTCCAGTAAAAATTAAACAAAAAAAAAAAATAATAATCTAATTTTGCCATAAATTTAGGCCAAAATGTATTCTGCTACATGTGGAATCTGATTGTTTGATTGCTCCTGTGGACAGGTGTCTTTTATACAGATTAACAAAATTAAATTAGCAGCACTCCCTTTTAAGAGACTGCTTCTAATCTCAGCTTGTTACCTGTATGAAAGACACCTGGTAGCCAGAAATCCTGCTGAATGATAGGGGATCAAATACTTATTTCCCTCATGAACATGCAAATCAGTGCATCATTTGTTAGACATGCATTTCTTTTGAATTTGTTGTTGCTATTTTGTCTCTCAGTGTTACAATACACCTACCATTTGATTTTTAGACTGATCATTTCTTTGTGAGTGGGCAAACATTCAAAATCAGCAGGGGATCAAATACTGATTTCCTTCACTGTATATAAAATATAATATTGTATATATACGTGATTTTGCGCAGCCCTGCCGTCCTGTAGCAATATTTCTGCTATAGGGCGGCGGGGGAAAAGCAGTTAAAAGAAAGGAAAAACAAAACAACACACTTGAGTTTAATGTGACTGAAATATTCTGAGTCAGGTGACAACAAAAGACTACATTATGCCAGAACTTCTTGGCTATATTACTGTAGTAACTAGAAACAATACGTATTCTCAAATCTCAGTGTGTACAAGAAGTAATGCATACAATAAATATAAAAATACAGCTCTCTCTCTTACCAAACGGTCATGTAGGCTGCCATAGTTATTTGACTGTGGCATGTGAGATGATGAACTGCCCATCATTCCACCATAGCCTGGCTGACCAATTCCATTGGAGGAATTCCACAGCTCTGAGGAGTTATGACTGCCATCTACAAATGAAACAAACATGTTAGCATGACAACACAACAAATGAGCTAAAGTGCTTGTTCATATTATAAAAGTTCAGGTAATCAAAATTTCGAATGTAAATTACAGTACCTGAGGCAAAAGATGCTGGTGACTAGAGAACCAAATACTGATGTTGTGATGACACAATATAGGGCATAGCAGTCAGACTGAAAACATCACTATTATTGTGACCATAAACAATCATTGTGAATAAAATTATTCCTAACTAAAAAAGGTAGACCAGTCCCTGCACACTCCACTGCACAGTAATCATGTTTAACAAATGTGTGTGTGAGGACACATCAATGCAGGTGATTGTGCATATAATTAGAATGGGGCTTTGCCAAAGTAGTTCTCTTATGTTATACACAGCTGTCATGGCAACCCAAAGAGCCACATGCTGAGCAACCGGAACAAAAGGCAACCCGCTCTAGTGACACATCTAAATTTTGCACACTGAATTTTTACTACCAGACAATGTGGTATTTGTGGATAAATGATTACGTTTTGATACCTCTGTAGCTCTGTGTAACACACTGTAGTGTCTAAACCCCAAAAATACTAAAAGGATTTAAAATAAAAGTCAGCTGGTCACCCGCCTTCATGGTCACAACTGATGCCAGACATTTACAGCTTTCAAGGATCCAGCTTTACAATACACTATAACTCGAATATGATTTTAGCATAACTCGAGTAACAATTCTGCATGTTTACTGTACTGTATACGCACTGGAATGTAAAGACATGAAAATTAAGTTCTATAACCTACTTCTTACATCCCCACAAAAAAAGTAAATGTGATAACTATTATACTCTTGCAGTAAATCAATGAAGTATGTATGTATGTATGTATGTATGTATGTATGTATGTATGTATGTATGTATATATATATATATATGTATGTATGTATGTATGTAGTAGTACTATACCAGCTGCACCTGATGTATGATAACAGCACTATCAGCATAAAATCACTAACCTTGAAGAAAGAAAGTGCTAGCAAACATACTGCTGGGTGGTTTAGGGGATGGATAGCTTGGAGACTCTCTGTTGAAGTCATCAGAACTTGGAGAGGGTGCATAGACCTAAAAAAACAAAACAAAAAAAACATCACAATCGACCAAAGCATTTTATTTTTGCCAGCACGGTACACAACCAATTTTTTTTTTCAATCTATGCAAAAACTAGGCAGAATAAATTTTAGATGACAGCCAAAATACTTCAAGGGTCATTCATTCCACCACAAACAAAACTAGGAGTTAAACATATTCTAACAGGTGAGCTTAAGCTCTTGAAATCCCAGGTCTGCACACCTGGGATTACACACAATATGGCCATTATGAAGAACAGGTCCCACTCTTGATGTTGGAATTATTTTTTATTTCCCTGCCTGGAGAAAACAAAAGGAGAAGCCGGGACACTCAAAGGTTGGTGGAAACAGCCAAAACTTCCAGGAGAAAAAACAAATTGCTGTAATTTATAGCAGAATAACCCATTGCTGGAGTATCCAAGGCATATTAAGAGGAACAAAGAATCACCTATATGGAATTACAAAAGCCAGTCTGATCTCACAGACAACCCAAAACAATAATCATCACTGGCCTTGCCTCCTGAAAATGCAACTGTTCAAAACTCAATATTGAAACTTTGGATCTGTACAAAGCCTAGATGCTTCTTCCTGCACAGGTCTGTCTTAAATAGAAGAGGTTGAGAAGGCTCTGCGGTAGTCCTAGTAAACCTGGCTTCACTAACTCTAAACCAATCATTGGAAAAAATACGCAAGAGGCGAGCTCATATTTTTCATGCTCTGCTGGCTGTATGCTTATTTGGGTCACGGTAGTGAAGCCAAAATCAAGATTAAAGCAAGTATCAAATGTCTACTTCCATTTTCCATACTCACAGGTTACTTTAACCACTAGCCTAGGAAGGGCACTTATACCCCCTTCCTGCCCAGGCCAATTTCCAGCTTTCAGCGCTGTTGCACTTTGAATGACAATTGCACAGTCGTGCAACACTGTACCCATATGAAATTTTTATCATTTTTTGTGACAGACAGAGCTTTATTTTGGTGGTATTTAATCACCTCTGGGTTTTTAATTTTTTCTTAAACCAAAAACCACTGAAAATTTTGAACAAAAAAAACCCCTTTTTCTTAGTTTTTGTTAAAAAATTTTTGTAAATAAGAGATTTTTCTCCTTCACTGATGTGCGCGAATGAGGCTGCACTGATGGACACTGATAGGTGGCACTGATGAGGAGGCACTGGTAGGTGCCACTGATGGGCATTGACAGGCATCACTGACTGGTACTGATAGGTGACACTGAAATGCAGCTCAGATGAGCACTGAAATGTGGCATGGATAGACACTGAGAGCTGGCACTGATGGACACGTGACAGGTGGCGCTGCTGGGGCTACACAGATCATCAGGACAGACTGATCATCAGTGCTCTGATGATCAGTATAGGTATCCCCTCCGAGGAATGCCGATTACCGGCTCTCCTCTTCTCACGAGCTGTCAGCGTGACAGCCCATGGGGAGAGAAATGCTGATAACTGGCATTTCCCTGTTTACATGTGATCAGCTGTGATTGGACACAACTGATCACATGACCGAGCCGACATCTTCGGCTCTTTCCATGGATCAGTGATCCGCTGTGTCCGAGGGACACAGCGCAACGCCGATCGCCGTGCTGCGTGCTCCGGGAGCCGCGCATGCGCAGTGAGAATGGTGTACTCCCAGAATGAGAAAACCACCTTGTGTCCGTTATATTACTATATAGCGGGCGGGAGGTGGTTAAACACTGAATGAAAAAGATTAGAAGGTGTAATGATTTTGACTTGGTTACCCTTGCTACAGATTCACTTACAGGGATTCTAACAGAATTACTTTTTTTTCAAAATAACAAACGTTATACTCACCTGCTCTGTGCAATAGCTTTGCACAGAGCAGCCCTGACTTTCTTCGTTTTGGGTACCCAGCTGGCGGTCCTGACTCCTCCTCATGCTGAGTGCCTCCAAAAGCAAGCCTCTTGCTATGAGGGCTCCCACACTGGGCTCTGTGTATCCATTCACACCCTCAGAGCGTGACTCTACTCTGCCCCTCAATTTTTCCTCATTGGCTGTGATTGACAGCAGCAGGAGCCAATGAGGAGAGAGACACCTCAGAGAGCCGCTGCTCTTATGCACATTGCTGGATCGAGATGAAGCTCAGGTAAGTATAAGGGGGAGGGGGAGCTGCACACAAAAGGTTTTTTAAGTTAATACATTAAGGTAAAAACCTTGAGACTTTAGAACCGCTTTAAGACAAATATTTTGTAATAGAAAACCAAAATCTGAATCATTCACAAAAGTAGCAGAAGAGAGCTAAAGACAGCTATTAAAGTCTAATAACCAATTACAAGCGTTTGTGCTCATGAATACTATACAAGGTAATTTTAGAAAACATGTGGCTTTAGAACTGGCAATAACCACAGAATGACTGGACTCAAATGTGTATTACTAGCATCAGATAAGCCAGAATACTGTATGCAAAAAGCATATGCAATTGCTGCTAGATAACGGCAATAAGCCCAACACAAATGCTGCGGGCCACCTATTTGACTTCAAATGTAGCCAATTCAGTTTTGGCACACCTAAAGGATTACCTAACGAAAACTTTCACATTACATTTTGTCTGACAGTGAACAATTTTGAAATGTAAACTGTATTTTAATATACTATACCAGTATAAAGTTGAAGTTTTGCCTTTCCTGGTTTCTCCTCCCCCATCCTCATCACCAGTCTACTGAAATTAAAAAACACATTTCCATCTTCATTACATACCTTATTTTAGATCAAGTGACATGGGTCTCTGTGCTTATCAATACAATGCAGGTAGATTATGGCTGGTGGGAGGGGCCAGCAGGGTGTTGTATAAAGCTCCTGAAAACAGGAAACTGTGGTAACACTCCCACATGTGATGAAGAGCCTCCAAGATTGAAAGAACTGAAATCCAACAGGACTGTGGAGGAAAGGGCTGGATGGCTTCCAGCCAGAATATCAGGCAGGCTCTATCAGATTTGCTGCAGAAGCTGTTAGAAGCTCACAGTAAGCAGTGAAATCAGAGTAAGCAATTTCAGTACAAGGGTTGAGCCTGTGCAAGACTGAGGGTAAGGCTGGAGTCCAGCTTTAACCATCACAACAAGTAGGAAAAAAACTTCACAAAAACTGCTTACAGTCCAAGGTGATAAGTGGAAATGTTTCTCACATAATGCAAGGGTAAACACCAAAGACACTGCCAAATGATGTGAAGTAATAGATTTAAAAATCTGAACATGATAATTGGTTCAAATTAGAGTTGTTTTGAACAGTGTGATATTTAATGCTATACTATGGCGAAAATCATGTACTCTCAAAATGCATGTAGGACAGAGCTGGAAAGTGTTAGTCTTTAATGCTGCAAAGTATAATGCTAGCTGAACACAAGAGAACCCAGCACTAGACCAGAACACAAAGTACCTGAACAGCCAGCATATGGTGGGTATTACTGCATTGCCTATCCATGGACAAAGGAAAGAGGTAATCACTTTGTAGGAGTATCTTTTTGTTTTGCGGTTGTATCATTTCATGTAAAGCTGATCCTCAGGTTTAATGTCCCTTTAACTAGTTTTTTGGGTCCTGGTGACCCAAACAAACTGTTCTACATGAACAAGAATGCCCGCTGGACATGCTTTATAAACCGTATGAAGCTTCAGGCAGTGAGATGAGCGCTTCCTGTCTCACACCTGGAGTTGGGCTAAACCACAGTCCCCATCCATGGCCACACCCTGACACCTTTCACCTGGATGGAGGCTTAACTGTAGATGTCTGCCAGATTGGGCAAGGGGGCAGTCCAGAGGGTGGGCCGATAGGATGGATCCAGTATGTCCACGGATCAAGCTGCCCACACCCAGAAGAGGCAGCCAGCTGGGGGGCAACACCGTGGCTAAGTGGTTAGCACCCCCAGGTACTCTGGTTTCCTGCTACACTCCAAAGGCATGCTGGTAGGTTAAATGGCTTCTGTCTAAATTGGCCCTGGTATGTGTATTCATAAAAGTGAGCTAGGGACCTTATAACTGTAAGCTCCTTGAGGGTTAGGGATTGATGTGAATGTACTATATAAAGCACTGTGTAAAAAGAACAGCCAATAATGGCTGGGCAACTACTGTGTGTGCCTAACTGTGAAAAGTAAACAATTAGGGAACAGCAGCCTAGCACTCAAAGTGATTCTCACTTATAACATAGTATAACTAAAAGGAAAAAGTACACTTTTTTTTTCTTCTAGACAGCTGAAGCGGACCAAGATGGTGGTGTGGTACTCGATGTTAAAGCTTGTAGGTGTTTTCTTTCCGCTCTAGGAGGATGCAGAACCCCTGACCTCTGTCTGGACAGTGCTGATCACATGCACTCTGCAAAGAAGGAAAAAACCCACCTCTCTAGCAATACACACTAAACTGAGCATGTGCAGAATGTCTCAATATGTCTCATCACGAGATAAGAGGGGGACACTGGAAGAAGGGGAGGATCAAAGAAGTCAGGATCAAACAGCATTTTTAAACAATGCAGAGGATTAACCCCTTAGGTTCCACAGTGAGTACAACAAGTATGCTTTACTGCATATACAGACTGATTTTACTGCTGTGGGTTTAGTAACACTTTAATAATGTTATGCCCATATTTAGGATGTAACATGTTATTATGCACCACTCAGGACACCCCCTGATCAGGCCGCCCCCAATGACAGTGGGCAGCACCCGCTGTTAAAATTTAAAAGATAGCATAGCTGTATGGGGGTCCGCTCGCACTCCCATGACATTCATTCACAGGAATCTGTGGTAGATGGCTTGTACTATAGTTCTCTCCCAAAGCAAGATCTGCTTAGCAAAGGAACTGAAATCTGGAAGATGTGCACAAAAAATAGCAGGCAGCGGAGTAGTCAGTTGTATTACTTGTGGTCCCCCTGCAGCTGATTTTTTTCCCCATTACTGACTTACTGTGCCTTATTGTGCACTGCCCCCCTATGGGGGCAGCCATCTTGGTTTACATCCTCAGGTCAGAGTCTCTAGTA